CTGTGGCCCTCTTTTGTGAAAGCACGTGGGGGGAAGAGGGAGAATGAGAGCCAGGGGTGATGTGGAATCAAAGGGAGGTTTCCTAGGGTGGGTGATGGGTGATGGCACCCTGGCCCAGGGCAGATGGAAGGGAGAGACCAAGAAGGCTGGGGAGCCTGACCTCCCTGGGGGATGGCGTCTCTCCTGGGGCTCCACTGCTCTGAGAGTCAGAGACCCCTGAGCTCAGTCCACGGGGCTGACATGACCACATGGCCCCACCTGTCTGCACCCAGAAGGCCTGAGCTGTTGCGGGGAAACACAGCGCCGCCTCCTCTGAACCTCCCGCCTCTGTCCCCAGAGCCCTACAGCCCTGCCGTGTGGGTAATGATGTTTGTCATGTGCCTCACCGTGGTGGCTGTCACCGTCTTCATGTTCGAATACTTCAGCCCCGTCAGCTACAACCAGAACCTCACCAGCGGCAAGAGTCAGCTCCCACCTGGGCCTGGGAGCAGGGGCAGGGCTGGCACTTCCAGGAGGGGTGGGTTCAGGGCCAGAGGGGCCTTTCAGAGAATGCCCCGTGGGGGAGGTCCCTGGCCTTCAGACAATGTGCAGGGGGCCAATCAGATACATGAGAGAGAGAGAAGCAAGGTGAGTTGACGTGCCCTGGGGTGGGGACGGCCAGGGATGGGGTCTCCACCCAGGACAGAGCAGAGACGGGAGCCATGGAGTTGGGTGGGCTGAACCTGACCCGCTCTGTGCCGGGCAAGAGGAGCGCCAGTGTCCCCCCTTTTTTCACCCCCAGAGTCTGGGGGCCCGTCCTTCACCATCGGCAAGTCTGTGTGGCTGCTCTGGGCACTGGTCTTCAACAACTCGGTGCCCATCGAGAACCCCCGGGGCACCACCAGCAAGGTCATGGTCCTGGTCTGGGCTTTCTTCGCCGTCATCTTCCTCGCCAGCTACACTGCCAACCTGGCCGCCTTCATGATTCAGGAGCAGTACATCGACACTGTGTCTGGCCTCAGTGACAAGAAGGTTCTGGAGCCCCAGAGGGTGCTGTTGGAGGGTGGGGGCGATGCCGCAGCCAGGGGCAGGCCTTGGGTGGGACACGGGACAGTTGGAATCAGCGGAATTTGAACTGGAGGCGGGAGCAGGCAGAAGCGGGGGAGCCTGGGGAGGAGGGGGCTGGGGACGGGGACAGGGAGAGACGGCTCAGGTCCACTGACTAAGTGGCCTTGAGTAAGTCTCTCCCTGTCCCGGCCTCAGTTTCCCCATTTGTAAAACACAGGCGTGGGCTGGACAGTCTCTAAGACCATGCTGTGCTCGCTATTCAAGTCCAGGCTGGGGGGATGGGGTCGGGGCCAGGGTCAGCTGGAGGGTCGGAGGAGGGGTTGTGAATGGTGGCTGCCCTCTGCGCGCAGTTCCAGCGGCCTCAGGATCAGTACCCGCCCTTCCGCTTCGGCACCGTGCCCAACGGCAGCACGGAGCGGAACATCCGCAGCAACTACCGTGACATGCACACCCACATGGTCAAGTTCAACCAGCGCTCAGTGGAGGACGCGCTTAGCAGCCTCAAGATGGGGTGGGTCCGCAGTCCTGCACCCACCCTCTGCCTGTCTCTACCCACGTGTCTCCCCGAGAGACCCAAGGTGGGACGGTGAGACTGGGTTGCCACGTAGGACCCCCGGGGAGGGGGTGAGGAGGTCTTGGGGCAGAGTGAAGCTTGAGGACGCCCACCAGAGCCCAGAGACGCAGCTGTGGTATTGACCAAGGTTCAGCTGTGCCCTCAGGTGTTGGTTGTCACCTTCTTAGGATCTTTAGGGGCCTGGAGGGCAGAGAGGGTGTGTCCTCTGGGAGCAGAGTGTCCCCTGGCCTCTCTGAGGAGGAGGGTAGGTGGGGTTCCGAAGCTGTGGGAGGGGGCTTCTCTGCACCAGGACCCCAGAGAACTAGAGAAGGCTCTGCCCATCCATCCCTCCTGGGTGGTGGTCAATGGGCCCACGTGGCCCAGACTCCTGTCAGGCCCCAGGTTTGGTGCCCTGAACCCCACTTGATCCCTGGCCTGAGGGCTCAGCCTGTCCCCAGGAAGCTGGATGCCTTCATCTATGATGCTGCTGTCCTCAACTACATGGCGGGCAAGGACGAGGGCTGCAAGCTGGTCACCATTGGCTCTGGCAAGGTCTTTGCTACCACTGGCTATGGCATCGCCATGCAGAAGGACTCCCACTGGAAGCGGGCCATAGACCTGGCGCTCCTGCAGTTCCTGGGGGACGGTGGGTGCAGCCGCTGATGGGGGCTGGGGTGGGTCCCAGGTGGGCCACAGAGCCCGTGGTCGGGACAGCTGCCCGATGGCTGGTCAACATCTCCACCACTGTCCTCTGAGTGCCCAGGGCCCGCAGGCACGGAGAGAGGTCTCTGGGGGTGAGAGATGGGTGCAGTGGCTGGGTGGGGGGTATTAGGAGCAGCTTGATGGAGATGTGGGGAGGGATTGGTTTGCCGGGAGGGAGCAGGAAATAGCTGGGGAGCCCTTGCAGGATGGGAAGACAGGAAGGAGCTCAGGCCACACAGTGGAGGTTGGGGGCATCTGAACTCCTTTACTTTTCCCCAAGACCCCTCCCCTCCATTGCCATCTTGAGATGACCTGGGGTAGTGCCAACAGCCTGCCTAATCCCAGAGCCAGAACCCAGGTTTGCCTTGGTACCCCGGGGGCTCACATGTGTGAGCGGTCCGGCTGGGCTGCCCCAACACCCAGAGAGAGCTTTGAATTTAGAGTCCCAACCCTATTAGATAAATAACTGTCTGGTTTTCCATCAGTGCCATAGAATAATGCGAGTGATAACAATGAAGGTGCTTGCAGCCTCCTTGGGGGCCTAGGCCTTTTGTCTCTGTGTGCCCAGCTCCATGCCTGGCATGTAGGTGATCAATAAGTGTTTGATGAATAAATGAATGATAAAATTTATGCAGTCGACAAGCCTTTGCTGGGCATGTGGAGTGTGGGCTTGTGGGAGGTGGGCATGTCAGAGGCCGGCATCCCCCCCCCCAGCTCCCACTCTGCTCTCCTTCCTTCCTGCTCATTGACACCCCCTCCCCCCATCCTCCCCTGCCGGGCTGGATCCCTGTGTGGTCCTACAGGGGGGTGGTACCCTGGACCCAGATCCCTCCTCACTCCAGGCTTGGGTGAGCACTGGAAGTGTCCTTCCTGAGCCAGGTGTGCCTCGCCCCCACCAGGGGAGACCCAGAAGCTGGAGACGGTGTGGCTCTCGGGGATCTGCCAGAACGAGAAGAACGAGGTGATGAGCAGCAAGCTGGACATCGACAACATGGCCGGCGTCTTCTATATGCTGCTTGTGGCCATGGGGCTGGCACTGCTGGTCTTCGCCTGGGAGCATTTGGTCTACCGGAAGCTGCGCCACTCGGTGCCCAACGCGTCCCGGCTGGACTTCCTGCTGGCCTTCAGCAGGGTGGGTGCCCACACTCCACCCTAGACAGGCCCCAGCTTCAGGGGCGGCAGCCCAGCTAAGTCAGAGCTGGCCATGGCCCCATTTACAGATGTAAAAACTGAGGTCTGGAGAGGTGGCATGGCCTGCCAGCATCACACAGCAGGTGAGAAGCAGAGCCCTTTTCCAGCAGGCAGGGCAGGACTTTGGAGCCAGGCTGACCGGGGTTCGAGTCCTCACTGCCATTTACAAGCTGTGTGACTTTAGGAGAAGGAGTTACCCTCTTGGTGCCTCGGAGAGCTCCACTGTAAGCTCTCCCAGCAGCACACAGTAGGAACTTAACAAACGTTAGTTACGTCCTGGGACACCTGGGCTGATGCTTCCCACCTGGGCGTGGGGCGTGGGGCGTGGGGCGTGGGGCGTGGGGCGTGGGGCGGTCCCGGAAGGGTGGGCGCCGCTCACGCCGTGTCGGTCTCCTGCCTCCCGCCCAGGGCATCTACAGCTGCTTTAGCGGGGTGCAGAGCCTGGCCAGCCCCGTGCGGCCGACCAGCCCGGACCTCACCGCCGGCTCGGCCCAGGTCAGCGTGCTCAAGATGCTGCAGGCGGCGCGCGACATCGTGACCACGGCGGGCGTGAGCAGCTCCCTGGACCGCGCCACGCGCACCATCGAGAGCTGGGGCGGCGGCCGCCGTGCGCCCCCGCCGCCCGCCTGCCCCAGTCCGCGGCCGCCCACCCCCGGCCCGCCCCCCGAGCCGAGCCCCACGGGCTGCGGGCCGCCGGGCGGGGGCCACACCGCGCTGGGGCGTAGGGCCCCGCAGCCCCCGGGCCGTCCCCCGACGTCCGGGTCCTCCCTACCCGACGTCTCCCAGGTGTCTGGCCGGCCGGCCTGGGAGGCGCGGTGGCCGTCGCTGGCCGGGCGCGGCGGGCGGCACCTCTCGGCCTCCGAGCGGCGCGCGCTCCCGGAGCGCCCTCAGTCGCCCGAACCCGAGGACCTGCCGCTGCTCGGGCCGGAGCAGCTGGCCCGGCGGGAGGCTCTCCTGCGCGCGGCCTGGGCCCGAGGTTCGCGCCCGCGCCACGCTTCCCTGCCCAGCTCGGTGACCGAGGCCTTCGCCCGGCCCAGCTCGGAGCCCTCCCGGTGTGCCCGCCCGGCCTGCGGGCGCTGGACGCAGGCGCAGTCGATGCGGCTGCCGTCCTACCGGGAGGCCTGCCAGGAGGGGCTGTGGGCAGGGCCTCCCCTCTGGCCGCACGGACATCACGCCTGCCTCCACGCCCATGCCCACCCGCCGCTTTGCTGGGGGGCTGTCTGCCCTCACCTCCCACCCTGTGTCAGCCACGGCTCCTGGCTTCCTGGGGCTTGGGGGCCTCCGGGGCACAGGGGCAGGACTCTGGGGCTGAGCACAGACTACAGAGACACTGGGGGGCTGGAAGAGGTCAGTAGGGTGGCCTGTGGGATGCACGGCTTCCCCCGACCTTGCACCTGGAGGCGGATCTCCAGCTTGGAATCAGAAGTCTGAGGTGTCAGCTATTCTGGTTCCTGCTCAGCTGGATTCTCCGCCTGGCAATGCCAGCGTTGGGGGTAGGGGGGCTCGGGCTTTTCTGGCTTCTGCCATGAAATCCTGGCCATGGGAACCCAGTGACAGATGATGTCTTCCATGGTCAGCTCAGCAACCTCAGCAGCCTCAGGTCCTGGTGTGAGCTGGGCTTTTGCTATCTTCTTATCCAAATCCCTTCCCACCTGGCCTGGAGTCACAGGGAGCAGTGGGGTCTCCCTGCCCAGCTGTGAGCCAGTCCCTGGTCATGGCTTCTGGGGGCTTGGTGTGGGAGCATGGAGGCTGGAGCTCGGTGTTGGGGCAGGGTGGTCCTGCTCCTGGCTCCAGCTGGCTGGAGTTTCTTCTCCTCAGAGTGCTGGGACATTAAACAAACCTTTTACAACCCACTGGTCCTGGCTGCCTCATTCTGCATCCCTGGAGGGGGGACACCAGAGCTGGTAGTCAACAGGAGCTTCATGGGAGTATCCCAGATGGGGTGTCTGCCTAGAGCAGGTGGGCAGCTCCCTTTGTGGAGTATCCGGGAGGCAAGGCTGAGAGAGGGCTCCAGGCAGCAAAAGCCACTTGGTATTCAGTGCCAGCTCCCGCCCGCCCTGGTGCCAAATGAGACAAATGTGCTCAGCACGGGGGCTCTGGTGGTGATGGATGGAGCTCATCCTTCAATCTCCTTGAAAAGAAGGGCTCATGCTAGGGGCTCTGGGGGGTTCTGCCCTGTCAGGGGCCCCCATGGGAGCCTGACAATGTTATGGTGGAAACGGCGGAGGGAGGTCTGTTGTGGGGAACCTGCTGGGCTCTCCTGGGCCCTGGCCGGCTGTGTTCGCCCCGCGGTGGCTGTGCAGGGCTCGGACTGCCTGCTGGCTCTGGAAGCCTGGCATGGGTGGCTTCCGGGGTCAGGCACGGCTCAGCCTTGGGAGGGAAAGACCTCCAGGTCAGAGAATCTGTCCCACATCTCAGTTCTCTGTCCTCCCTCTGGGGCTCTCAGCCCCACCTCCTTCCTCTGTCACATGTCACTGGCTGTGAGCCATCTAAAAAGATGGCTCTTGCTTACCATTTTCAATGCTTTCACTTCTGTGATTACATCTAGCCCCACAATGACTAAAGCAAGCCAGCCCTCCTTCCATCCATTCCGCAAACACGGTGAGCATAATCCGTGCCGTTAGAGCCTTTTCTGACTGTGAGCCTGTGAAGTCCAAGGCCTTGTTGTCCCCGGCAATTTGGGTGAAGCAGGGCAGAAACTTAACTCCATGTAGTAGGGAGGGGGCTGGGGAGGGCAGTGCTGGATGCCAGTACCACGTGCGGCCATGGCCCAGTGCCCTTACCCACATGGCTCCTTGCTGGCTCCCAGGAGGCTGGGTCCCCTCTCCGGTCTCCAAATATTCCACTGCTGGAGCTGGAGCCATGAAAACTGGAAGTTTTTTTGTTTGGTTTTAGGGGTGAGAGCCGCTGAAATGGTACAGTGGTGGAAATTGCCAGTACCCCTCCGTTCCTGGCTGGAGGGCCTGACAACCACAAGAATGTGTGCCCCCCGCAGCCCATTATAGTCAATTTCACATTCTCTGCCCCATGGATTTTCGCGGATTCAGGTCCAGGATGGGGGGGGGGCGCTCAAAAACAGGTTGTGAGTGTGAGTCTAAGGGGGTGCTAGAGGCCAGTGCCGTGGAAGGGAGCTTGACCTTGGTTGCAGCCACTGGAGGTGAGAGGGTTAACCGCTGGCCACCAGCCCCTGGACCTGAGCTCCCTGGGTCAGGGTCTGAGTGCAGCGCTGGGTGGAAGGCTGCAGCAGGTGACGCCTGGAGGAGTTGCGAGGTCCAGGCTGCTCTCTGCTCACTCTCGAAGATCATTAATAACCAAGAACTGGAAAGATAATTAAGAGCCACATGTGGAGCTGAGCCTGCTGCTGACTGGCTCTGAGGAGTGGCCAATTCTGCTCCTGGGGCCAGGCTCCTGGCCTCCTTGCTCCTTCTCTAAGAATGTATTCTGAGGAGAAGCGAGTCCCATGGGGAGTGGGGGCAGGAAGGATGCCTCCTGCCCCTCTGCGGGAGGACCAAGGAAGGGTCCTGCATTATCAAGGGGAGGAGCCTGGCAGGGGAGGAGGGAGCCGGCTGTGTGGGAGAGTGAAGCCACAGATGTTCAGTCATCACACACAAGGGTGTGACGGTGCAGCACAGCCAGCTGAACCCAGACACCAGACACCCAAATGCTGTATTTTTGTTTGTTTGTTTTTTTTGGTGGGACACAGGGAGAGGCCTTTGGTCTCATCTCAGCAGTAGAAATTCCTACTATCTTTCCCCGTTCCCTCCTGCTGCTGCCATCACTGTGTTTCTTCCTCTGTCTTTACTGAGTTCATGGTCCACACCACCTCTTTCCTGGGGCCCGTGTGTGGGGAGGGGGCACGATGCCCTCACTTACGATACTTGAGCTTCCGTCTTGGCTCCAAAACTCCCCAGCCTGGCCTGAGTCTGGCTCTGTGACGGGGGAAGGCTGTCCTTCAGTTTCCTGGGGGTGTTGGGGAACCAGAGACCACCCCCTCCCCAAAGCCCTAAAGAATTCAAGTCCATTTCTCACTTCTGAATTGTGGCAGGCAGTTGCTAAGAAGAAGCCACTTGACTCATCAGGAGGCTATGAAACCGGTTAGGTGCCTGAGGACCCAAACCAGGGGTCTTCAACGAGTCTAGAGGTATGTGGTACACGTGCACTATGGCTGGCAAGGGACAAGGGAGCTGGGCATCAGTACCTAAGAGCTTTATTGAACACTTCTGTGTCAGGTACTCAGGACTTTAGCCCGATACAGGTCAGTGATGCAGGTACTATCCTCCCCATGTTACAAAGGACAGGAGGAGAGAGCACGGGGTTTGCTGCCTGCAAGTGGCACGTCCGACTTCTCGGTCTACGCTCTTAACCCGCGAGTTATGCCACCAAGGTCCACGTGGAAAGTGCCCAGCACTGTGCCCGCATACACCAGGCACTAGTAGATGTCACTTTCCCCTTTCTCCAATCGACACCATGAGCCCCAGGCCCCGGGGAGAAGGGATCGTGAAGCTCCCTCCTGCAGCTCTGGATCCTGGTTGCGTAAGAGCCAGGTGTCAGCCCTGATCAGGGATCCGGTCCCTAGACAGGCATGGCCTCAGCCTTCGCTGGCTCAGTGTCACACACACACACACCAGGCTCTTCCCCTGGGCTGGTTCCCCGTGAGGTAGGGGCAGCCCCTGCCCTCCCCCCACTCTGACTTTATTTAGCCTCTGCCCATTGCTGAGGCCGCTCCTGGCCCCCATCTGGCAGGAACAGGTGTGTGTCTGAGGGCCTGGCGAGGTGCCCGCTGCCCACCTCCCACCACTCGGCAGTGCCTCCCGGCCTGTCACCCGCCATCTGTCCCATCCATAAGCCCGCAGTCATCTCTCTGGCCTCAGGTGAGGGAACAGCCAGGAGCCGCTGGTGCGATGGCACGAGGCTCCAGTGCCTCGGCAGGGAACGAGACAGAGAGGGCTGCCTCCCACCTTGACCTGGCCTGCCCTCGGGGCCAGTCTGGGGCAGTGCGGGTGAATGGCGTCGGGCGGAGCCTGCTGAGTTTATGTTCCTCCTCCACAGCGAAACTTGTACCTGGGCCAGGTCGGGCTGGCATCCTTCTGGCTTCCCCACCACAGACCACAGGGCCCATCGGTAGAACGGTAACCATGACCCAACTGGCCCACCTCCGCAAGCTGATGTAAAAACTCACAGGCGAATGTGCTGCACGCGCAAGGTGAACAAGCCTCACCTGGGAACGTCCAGCTGTCAGGGTCCCCGCGCCCCCTCCCCCAGGCCATCAGCAGTAGAGAGGAAGCTGACCCCATCTGACCTCTAGCGACAGACAGCAGGCAAACACCAAGGAGCAAAGGAACCCAGTGACGTGGTCACCTCCGGCCAATTCCTTCCAGGACTGCGGTTGCCCAGCTCGGAGGTGGAGGGCAGTGCAGCCATCCGGCTCCACTGCCGTGTGGCTCCAGACTGCCACATAAATCAAACTGGCTTTACCATGCTAGTAAATTTGTGTCCAAAATTTGGAACTTGAGGCGGCGGGATGATTTAATTTGCTTTGTCCTTAAGCAAGAGGGAATGTAATTGGAGAAGGGTAAGTACAGATGTTTTAATTTTCAGCAAACAGCCCGGCAGCTTCCGGCAGGGGGGGGGGCGGTGTCTGTGCCCCGGCCCCGCCCACCCCACAAGGCCTCCTGGGAAGCAGCCACGACGGCAAACGGGGAAGAGGCGTCCTTCTTTCACGAGGATGGAAAATAACAATACGCCGGATGAGCTGTGAGAACTGAAGATGTGCGGCAAAAGAGAGACAGCAGATCGCGGCCGGTTATGACACGGGACTCTCACAGGCCGGGGCTGCCAGGGGGCCATAGGGGAGGGCAGGGGCTGCCTGCGGACTCCCCGTGTTCTTGCAAATCCCACGTCCCCCTGCCCTGAGACCACCGTGGGCCCCAGGAGACCTGGCGTCCTCGCTCTGTCCAGAGTTCAATGACGGTGAGATGCAGGGGCTGCAAGGGGTTCCCTGGAGAGCGGAGCAAGGCACTGAAATCAGCGGAGGGAGGGGGAAGGGCCGAGACCCCACCCCAGAGGCTGCTCCTGGCCCAGCTGCTGTGGGCTCCAGGACAAGTGGGCTTAGGCTCAGGGCCGGGGCCACACGAGGGAGAGTCAGGAGGAGCCCCCAGGCCCTGACGCAGGAGAAGGCACATTGAAAATGCAGAGCTCTTTAGGGTCCCCTGTGTCTCCGAGGAAGGCTGGCCCAGCAGGTGCATGCATGATTGTTGGGGGGAGGGGAGCACGTGGAGCTGGTGACGTGCCCGGGAACCTGGCTCTCCTTCCATGGGAATGGTGGCCGGGGCCCCGTCTCACCCCACAGCGCCCAAGGGACATGGAGAGCGTGAACGCTGAGCACGCACAGCTCGGCTCCAAAGGGAGCCACCGTTAGTGTTGGAGAGGGG